CTGAAAGAATTCTATATAAAATAGGCCTGAACAATTGCAATATATCAGACAAGTATTGCAGATATAACACCACTTAGTAATATAAAAGAAAGTACTACAATTTGATGTTGTTAATGACATTCTATTGTTGTGTTTTTAATTTTGGTTTCAGAATCAGTATTGAGTATCCAGTCTATTCCTCAGTATGAAATGTTATTCTTGTCAACACTAATATCTACAAATGGAATCAAACTTATTATATCTTTTTACTTTATTTGTTTATTTATTTTTAAAAAGGGCAGTGCACAGAATATGTTAATCTCAAAGAGAAAAGATGCTCTGCTCAAGATTTAGTTACAAACTGATTTCCACCTGCCGTCCTTGTGCAGGTACAGAAGACTTTTCATCAATAGTAATGTCTCTTTAAAATAACCACTATTCATTTCATCATTAAACATTTAAACAGGCAAAATTCTTTAAGACTAATTCCCATAAATATCAAGTTCTCAACTTCATCATTATCTTCTAAAACACACACAATCCAGTTCATAAACATCTGTCCAGGCACTACAGATGAAAAATGGACCTGGCTAATTCTGGTAACATTAACAGAAATGTTGTACACTGTCCCTATTAAATATTCCAAATATATAAATAAATAAATAAATAACTTAACATCAGTTAACTTTTAAAAATGTGTGTGAACCCTGAATCATCTAAACCAGTATTATTCAATATTTCTTGAGTCACAGCATTCTGACAATGAACATAACAGATTACAATAATCATCCAGTCATGTACAGAACCAACATATCTTTGGCTTTTTTTCTTCAAAATAATAATTACCTGAAATGTGCAATGGCAATGATAACCAGAAGGTTGAGTACACTAGTGAGTATTGACACCAAACCAAGCAACACACTGGTTATCAGATTTTCAGTTGGGTCGATCTTACTCTTCCTACAGGAGCTGTTGTGGAGGTGGGGAAAGCACAGTTCTGTCTTGTCTGTGTCCATCCTCTGAGAGAGAAAGAGGGTGGATCTTCTCTGATATATCTCCTGATGTCCCCCATAGACCAGCCGTGGCATATCTCAAAGGTCTTCTCAATAATAACAATTATTATTATTATTATTATTATTACTACTACTACTACTACTACTAATAATAATACACTAGTCTTATATAATGTGGTTGAAATGTCTTGCCTAAGGACACAACAACAGTTTTTTGTCACTGGCGCCCCAGTGTGGCACCTGATTTTCTCACCGTTCTCCCATCTAAAAAACTAACTAGACCTGGTCTTGCTTAGCTTTTGAGGTCTGACGAGATCAAGATTTTCAAGATTTGGCCACAAAGAATTCTACAAGAATAACATGAATACAAGTAAAGCCCACAAGTAAAACTCCAACAGGCTCTGTGCGTGACCGAACAGGCAGCTCACTGTTAGTGTCCTTACTTCTTGTTCAAATATATATCTTTGTGGGGTTCATCCTTCTCTGAGTTGCATCGAGCAACTGATTGGGAGATGCGGGTAGACCTAAAAAAGAAGCTTGTTTTCCCAAATGATGTAACAGTCACCCCACTCCACCCTGACGTGATCCTCCTGTCAAAGAGCACAAAATTGATCATGTTAACTGAGCTTAAAATTCTGTGGGAGGAAAGACTTGCTCTAGCTTACGAACTGAAGAAGCCCAAGTACCAGGACCTGAAGAAGACCTTGAAGGAGACTGCCTTTGTGGCCAAGGAAAGTTCTAGATAATTGTAGCTGACAACAGATCGGAGTTGAAACCCTTCTGCAGGTGTAGCTTGGTCTTTGCTGCTCCACTCAGGTGAAGCGTTCAGGTTAAGGAGATCCTGCTTGGGATCCTGAGGTACCTACTCATGATGCAAGAGAGTCCTTCCACCAAGCCCCAACCAACATTGTCTCATTGAGAAATGTGCACCTTATCCAAACTGCTAAAGCATTTGGTGCTTGTAAGATCTTGTTTATTTCACTTAAAATAGAAAATGCCCAGATGGTCATCCAATGACAAGACAAGAACATTATTGTGGAGCTCCAGGTGTGTTAGTTCTTGCAGCAGGAGTGGCAGGTCAGGAAGCTCTTCTCTTAGAGAAAGAAGCAGAGTTTCTCTTCTTTCCAGTTGAAGAGAACTGGGGATCGTTGATGAAGTTGTCTGGCAGGCTGTCAGCATTGGAGATGGAGAGAGCTTGGACAAAAGAAGTGACTTGATCTTTGTGAGGTGAACTGTACACAAGTTGTCTGTCACATATGGCTTGGACTGAATGCTGGTCAAGACAGATACACGTTGGATCTTCAAGTTGCTGTTCAGTGGATCTCAATATTCTCTCTCATTCCTTGTGTGACCGGACATCTTCTGATTGCTCTCCATGAGGTTGCCGAGAGAATCCATCAGCATCAGAATTCAACTTTCTAGCTTGTTAGATAATCTTAAAAATGAAAGTTGAGAGGGCCAAGAGCCACCTGTAACTTGTAGCACATTTGCCTGGCTACAATTTGGCTTCCTAATAATAAAGAAATAGAAGTACTGTAAAAGAATTTACCTTGTTTTCCACAAGCTAAAGCTACACTCCGTGCATGGCCAGAAGATAGACATGTACGAAGAAGCTATGAGGAATTTGAAGGAAGCAGTTAGCGACTTTTAGCGCCAGTTTACACAGTTGTAATTTTCTGTGATTATATCTCGGCAAAAGGCTCACCTTAAAATGCTGGGTGAAATGCGTAGGTTTAGAGACTTCCAGTACTTTGTTTGAAGTTTGCCGACAGACCATGCCACAGCCACAGCGGAGACAAAAAATGAAGCAATCTGCAGGAACTTAAAGGAACTGGAAAGTTCGGAGCAGTACAACAGGAAGTAGACCCACCAAAATAAAAGTCTCTGTATTGGACATGGATTACATGTTGCTCTCCAGTATTCACAACAGGCTCACCAAGGTAACAGACTGATCTGTTTATTGTGCTTAACCACTTTATACTGAATCACACTGCAGCAAGCAATAATGTGTCCTACCACAATTATGCAGATGACACTCAGATCTACGTCTCTCTGGCAGCAGGAGACTATGGACCAGTGGACTCTCTTGGTCACTGCATCCAACAGATCAGTGTGTGGATGCAAAACAACTTTCTCCAGCTAAACTCTGACAAGACTGAAGTCATAGTCTTTGGTCCACAGAAACAAAGGGACAGTGTCAGCAGTCACTTCCAGTCTCTCTCTCTAAAACCTTCAAATCAGGCAAGAAATCTAGGGGTAATAATGGACTCAGACTTGAACTTTAACAGCCACATCAAATCAATAACATCCGCAGCCTTTTACCATCTAAAAAACATCAAAAATCAAAGGTTTACTGTCTAAATCAGACTTGGAGAAACTTATCCATGCGTTTGTCTCCAGTAGGTTAGATACTGTAATGTTCTGCTCACTGGTCTCTCCAAACGAGCTGTGAGACGCTGCAGAACATCCAGAACATCCAGAACATCCAGAACATCCAGAAGGCTGCAGCTCGGGTCCTGACTCGAACTAGGAAGTATGAGCACATAAGTCCTGTGCTCAGGTCTCTGCTCTGGCTCCTGTGGCTCAGAGACTTTAAAGCAGCTCTGCTTGTACAAGTCTCTCCATGGCCGAGCACCAAAGTCCATCTGTGACATGTTAGTGTCATATGAACCATCTCACACTCTGAGGAGCTCAGGGACCGACCTCCTGCTGGTGCCCAGAGTCACGACTAAAACAAGGGGAGTCAGCGTTTCAGGTTCATGCAGCTAAAACCTGGAACAGTCTGAACATGTGAGACAGACTCTTCTGTGACGCTGTTTAAATCCAGACTCAAAACATTTCTGTTTAACTGTGCAAATAACTGAAAGGTTTTCATTCCGCACTCTTCTCTCCAATTTATGTCTCTTTTTTTTTATTTTAATCTTCATGATTATTTATGTTTTGATTTGTTTTTATTATGATTTTAATGTATTTCTTATTCTGTAAAGCACTTTGAATTACTTTGTGTACGAATTGTGCTGTACAAATAAACTTGCCTTGCCTTGCCTTGCAGTACTTTGAACTTTCTGATGCATCCTCAGTTTTGGATTGGAAGTGGGAGGAAGCTATGACCTGAATCTGTTAGGGCCCCAGAAAAATATTATTTATCTGTTTGTGATTAGCATTGAGCGGGACACGTGTGTGTGCTCATAATGTGCAGTCTGTTTAAAAAATAATTCAACAAAAATATAAAGCAAGGCTCTGATGCTCCAGTAAAATTATGTGTTTTAATTAAACATTATACCCAAAATTTAGCTAACAACTAATGCTTTTTAGTAACCTACACATAGACACATTATTTCATACATAATATTGTTGAATGCAGGTCAGCAAGGGTGCACAAGATCTGTTTAGACAAACCTAAGAGTCTGTGGCTATAATCTGCATTATGGAAGGAACTGCAATGATATGTCAGATAAAATATACAGAGATGCAAGGCAAAGCAAGGCAAGTTTATTTGTATATCACAATTTCATACACAAAGTAAATCAAAGTGCTTACAGAATTAGAAAGTGATTTACAGAATAAGAAATCATCTCAGTACAAACGAATCCAAACATAAATAATCATCATTAAATTAAAAGAGGGAGACACATTAAATGAGAGAGAAGAGTGCAGAATGAAAGCCTTTCAGTTATATGCAGCTGAACAGAAATGTTTTGAGCCTGGTTTTAAACAGAGTCAAAGTAGAGGCCTGTCTCACATGTTCAGGAAGACTGACTCCCTGTGTTTAGTCCTGATTCTGGGCCCCAGCAGGAGGCCGGTGCCTGAGCTCCTCAGAGTGCGAGATGGTTCATATGCATCTTGCAAAGTCTGGTTCAAAGTTTATTCTCTGAGCCACAGGAGCCAGTGCAGAGACCTGAGCACAGGACATATGTGCTCGTACTTCCTGGTTCAAGTCAATGCAATACACATTATATGATAACCCAACAGTCAATTTAATTGGTAGAATAATTTTCTTTATTTTAGTTAAAACATTTTAAGATCCGTTGAACCGGGTTTCAGAACCTGAAGTGTGACTATGAGTTTAATGGCTTTTCTAAACCAGGGAAACAGCATTGTGTACATGAGAGGATTCATGAGAGAGTTTAGACAAATTATTGATATTGCAATGACAATTAAAGGAGTACCTAGTATTGTGAGGTGAGTTTCAGAATACGCAGCAATAAGGTATGGCAAGTAACAAGCAAGGTACACAGCCACAATGATCCCCAGGTTTCGTACAGCTTTAATCTCTGATCTTTTACTCGTCTTGGAGGTCACAGCTGTAACTTGAGAACGCATGGCTCGAGCCTGAGAAACAGCGACTATCACAACTCTAGTGTAAAGGCAAATAATAATACAAAATGGAATGACACAACTCATTAATAAATCTGCTGCTTCAGAGTAGTAAATCACACATTCTCCTTCACAAGATTTATATTTGCCTGGATGCATATAATTCTCATGAAGAAATAAAATTGAGTACCCAACTGAGTACAACCAGCACGCACATATACAGGTGGAGACCACTTTTCTAGTCACTCTGCTTTGGTAGAACAGAGGCTGACAGATGGCCACATACCGATCCACTGAAATAAGGATGATGTTTCCAACAGAAGAGGTAAATAGTGTAAGAGAAAGTGTGTAATACACCAAACACATGAGGTCGCCCAAAGTCCAACAAATTTTCCATTTAATGCCGTGGACTGGTATGACCACAAGACCAAAAAGGAAATCAGACACTGCCAAAGAAAGGAGCAGTAGGTTAGTCGAGGTGTGGAGCTGTCTGCAAAGAGAAAGAGATCATTTAAATTATAATTAAGAATATTTTATTTTTCTGATCTAATTCTACAAAATAGACCTGAATGATAAAAAAAAAAAAAAAAAAAACCTACATTTTGGATTACAACTGAGATTAGATTATGGTTTAATGGTTTAATAATACAATTCTGTTCAAAGTTTCAAATGTGTCCAGGAAAACTGTTAATAAGGTAGAATGTAATTTCTGTGACAATACAATTTCCACATGGGTACAAAGTTACAATTACTTGAATTCAATATAAATATGTAATTTCTGCATATCTGCTTGGGTACTGGTTCAGGACAACTGATGGAAACTAGCCTTTGGTTATAATCCAGGTTGTTTACATTTCATGTTGTATCATGTCTGTCCATTAACATGCACTGTCCCAATCAAATAAATAAATAAATCACTGAAAATCTGATATTCATCAATAATAAAACTAGTACTGAAACTCATTTGAGCAACAATCGATACTAAGTCACTTTCACAGAAAAAAAACAGAACCTTTCCTGAATAGCTTTAGAATCACCTTGAGCACAAATTTTCCTAAATTTTTCCTATTTGAAATTTTCAAATATTAAAAGTTAAAAGGAATCATGAAGACTAACTCGCATCCACAGCAGTTGTTTTAAGTTTAAGACAGATTCAGTGAAATATTTTAATAACTTGGCAGTTTATAAAGTTTCAGAAACAGATTTTGAATAAAATGATAGATATTGTAGTCATTAGTTGCCACATACCTGATTAGCCATGAGCAAGCTTGTAAACTTTATATAATATAATTTTTTTACATATACCTGTTGTTGCAGCATGTGTATTGTACTGGTTTCATGTCTTGTTGAAAAACAATAATATGAAACCACCCCTGAAATAACTTTGCTATGGATCATACCTGGATGACTGACGGATTACATAGACATGAAATGTGTAATCTTTTACTTAAAAATATAATATACAACATGGTGAATAATACGTGTGTCTGTCTGGTTCTTTAAATTTGGTAATGGTAATTGTTGCTTCGGACACTCCAAAATGGTAAATAATTGCATTAAATCCAACTCAAATTAGGCAATCTTCAAGGATCAAAATATACATCATTGTGTCCTATCTGTACTTGGAAATATATTTCTGACAATCATTGCATTTTGATTTGCTATTTGTGTATTAATAATAGGATTATAATTATAACAAACATTTACATTTTAAACATGTCCAGGAGAACACTGAAATAGGTCTATAATATGAATCACGTGTTTCAAAACATACAGATCTAAACTACAGGGTTAGCAGTTTTTATGCGGAATAAGCGGAATATTTTGTAATTTTGGGAGGAAATGATAATACTTTGTGCCTTTGTGATTTTACCATTAACTCCAGTTGGACAATCTTTTCAGTACCTGACGGCACAACAGTGTTCCCCTGACACACTGGTTGAAAATCAAAGACTGAAATAAACCAAACACTATATGATCCTGACAGCACATTCTCTCAATAAACATTCAAATAATTATCCAAACATGTACAGTACCAACATGTTCTTTACAATAACTATAATTACCTGAAATGTGTAACGGCAATGATAACCAGAAGGTTGAGTACACTAGTGAGCATAGATGCAAAGCCCAGCAACACATTGGTAATCAGATTTTCAGTGGGGTCGATCTTACTCTTCCTACAGGAGCTGTTGTGGAGGTGGGGAAAGCACAGTCCTATCTCATCCATCACCATCTTCTGACAGAGAAAGAGGGTGGATCTTCTCTGATATATCTCCTGAGGTCCTCCATAGACCAGGCCTGGCTCACGTCATGGCCCACATGTAAAATCCCAAATTCCAATCTCTTTTCATAAATAAAGAGGTTGACGAATTTCTGTATCACTAAAGGGGGCACTTGTGGGAGTTGTAACATGGCGATTTCATAACAGGAACATGCCCAAATAATTACATACTTGCATACTTGGAAATGTCATCAGATTATCCAACCGAAGGTCAATGTTAAGAATATTAGTAAATGCATGTGTTGTGTGGGTAAGATTAATATGGACATAACAAACACTATTTAGACCTTTCTCGGCTTTCAGACACTCTTCTGGGCCCAGGTTTTGAGGTTCTGTAATCACCCGTGTGTAACCCAGGTGGCAAATCCTGCAACCAAATCGAAATGGCAGAGGCTGACAAACCGAAGACAGCATTCGTAAATTCGTAACGGGCTTTAGGGATTTCAACCGTATGCCACAAGGCGTAACCAACACACCAAGCACATTTCAACGGCTTATGGAGAGATGTATGGGTGACCTGCATCTGAAAGAGGTCCTTGTATTCCTTGTCAATTTGATCATCTTCTCTAACACCCTTGAAAAACGTGAAAACCACCTGTTGAGAGTACTCCAGTGCTTAAAAGACTATGGCCTGAAGTTGTCACCAGAGAAGTGCAAATTCTTTCAAACATCTGTGCGCTATTTCGGCCATATTGTCTTGGAGCAGGGTGTGGAGTCCAGCCCAGAGAAGATAAATTCCCTTAAGTCCTGGCCTGTTCTGCGGACACTCAAGGAACTGAGGTCCTTCTTAGGATTTGCGGGGTTTTACCGCAGGTTTACCCATGCCTACACCGCCATTGCCATGCCCTTGAACGGCCTGACCAGAGGGCACACCCCCAGCCTGTTGCCAAAGCCGCAAACCTTCTCCCATGCCCAGCCTCGATGCCAAACAGCCATTTAATGAACGATGGACCAGAGAATGCCAACACTCATTTGAGACATTAATTGACAAACACATGACAGCCCCAGTACTCGAATTTGCCAGTGCAAAAGAACCCTACATCTTGCACACCGACGCAAGCATGATGGGCCCTGGAGCTGCACTGTGGAGCAGAATTGGAAGCTACATGTGATAGCGTACGCTAGTCAGGGACTATCTAAAAGTGAGTCCAGATATCCGGCCCACAAATTGGAATTCTTGGCACTAAAATGGAGTGTAACCGAAAAGTTCCACGACTATCTGTACGGCTCAAAGTTCACTGTCATTACCGACAATAACCCACTGACCTACATCCTGACATCTGCCAAACTCAACACTGCCAGCCACCGGTGGCTTGCTGCACTATCCACCTATGATTTCAAGCTGCAATATCGAGCAGGAAACCAGAATCAGGATGCCGACGCACTCTCCCGACAGCCCCATCACCAGCCACTTGATGCCCACAGTCAGAAGGAATGGGACCTGGTCAACCAGTTTACCCGTGACCACGTCGACCCTGGCAACACAGTCCAACTTGATCCCGATATTGTAGCCGCGATTTGCCACAGCTACCTCTTGAGAGCTTCAAGTCCTGAAGATCCCCCTGAGTTGAGTCTTTAAGCATGTCTCTCAATGCCATCCTGGACAGCTATGCCAGCGAGTCTCACCAGGGGTTACCAGTCGTGCCTTCCCTGTCTCACCTCAACCTCCCAGTCCAAAGTGGGGGTGACTTCATTTCCAGAGCAGGAACAGAAGCCTGGTCCTGAACCTTCTCTACCTTGGACAGTAGTTTGTATGAAATGGGGAACAAAGGGTCCAAGAAAGTCTTGCCACCAGTGTTTTTTGAAAAAGGGTGAAATCCTACGGAGCTGGAATCTAAATTGGGGTTGACAAAGGATATGTTGGAGGTGCCAGGACATCTGGGCCTTGCAAAGGGAAAACGAGACTCTGGAGCCATAGTTTGCCAAAATGGTTGGAAGACTCCATATGAGAAAGGGGAAGAAGGAACGTTATGTCACTGACAATGATGTTTTGTGCGCAGTGGCTGACAGTGCCAGTCGTGGTTCCCATGTTGACCGATGATAGAGCACCTGACACATACTTTGCATGGGCCAGTCATGTGGGTCGCAATAAATTATTTGTTCAGAACTTTTGCAAAACTTGTCCCACTTGCCAAAAAATATCCTACACCCACTTACCTCCAACCTCTGCCTGTGATCTCCACCCATTCCGGGCATAATCATGGACATTGTTATAGCCTATTAGAGTGACATATTGGGGGACACCATTACATCCTTCCAGAGAGTACACCATGATTTACACCAAAACAGTAACAGTAAGCTCAGCAGCACAGCGTATGCACAGGAGTTGCTTTTCATTTTAACCATTCGGACAATCTACACCAGCAATGTCATACGCACATCCAACGAGCATCATTACGCTACACGTCGCAGAAATGAGGATGGAGTTCTAATTTTTCAGTGGGGGGAAAGACAGGAACTAAGCACAACTTCCGATGCCCTTTCAAAATATTTTCTCTAAAACCACTACAGTCACGTAAACAAAGTGCATCCAGGAGCTCAGAGAATGACATGATGGACTATTGAAAGTTTATAGCTGCGGATAATAAATAAAAAACACTTCAAACAGCAACACATCATACAGCAACTTTACAAGAACAACTCCTGAAGGAAAAGGTGCACTGTGCAGGCAACCAAAGTGAAATTAATGCAAGCAGCGCAGATACAGCTTGCTATTGCTGCAAAGCCTCGTCCCTCTTTTCAGCTTTTGTATTGTGATTTAAAATGTCATTTATCCAAGCAACAATGAATATGTAAGCAATTGGTGAGAATAAACAGAGGCTAGGGTTTGCAAGTACAGCTCTATTGCCTCTGGTGTAAATTGTCACTTTAAGAAATACCCACATATGAAGTTTTGCCTGCGGTCGTGTCACTGAAGCTATAAATCCTGGGTCGTGGACTGTGTTTTGCAGGAGTATGAGGACTGCAGTGCTGCCAAATCTGGATGATGTGCTCATTTTTAGGTGGGAGCAGCACCTCCATCATCTGGAGCAAATCCTTGCCCTGAAGATGTGGGTGCTGGCTATCTGTACGAACCTGTAACATTTGTCACTGTGATAAGTTTATAGGCTCTTTTCACAACTTTCAGAGGCTAGATTCGTGTTTTGCCTGTCACATTAATGGGTAAGAGGTTAAAAAGAATTAGCATGCTAAGAGGATAAAACACAGAGGATAAAACACCTTATAATAACATACCGACAACTTGTTCAAATGCTGATTTATTTTTAATTACAAAAACACTGGACATGAGGACCAAGTTGTTTCATTTGTTGTATTTGTTCTCAAGATGATCATCCAATCGGAAACCAGAATAAACCTCACAAGTCTCTCATTTATGTTGCCAGTTTCAATGCTTAAATCTTGTTGGTTTACACCTAAATGAATAATCTCTGATCTGAGTTGTCACTATCTAAACCCCAGCATCAAGCATTAATCAGTGCTAATGCAGCCTCTGCAGCTCAGTGAATTACTGCTGGAGGCTCTGAGCTTTCATATGAGGCATGGTCTGTCCATATTAAGGTTTTGCGTGTGATGTGGCAGTCACGTGCTTTAATGTTTGGCGGCCATACTGGAGGTCAAGACTGGGATTATTCAGTTTATTTCAATATAATCATGGCGACTTTAAACACTTTAAATGACATAAAACTGCCTGAAATTGCCAGCTCGTTAGATCAGGCGTCATTAGAAAGATATAAAGCTAAAGTCGTCCTACCGGGTTGTGGAATAGATCCCGATCTAATTCCAATGGAGTGCTTTGTCAGTCTAATCAACGCTCGCTCTGTGCCCAACCTTTAGTATCCAAATATTTACAACTACTTCATTCATTTGACATCGTCCTACACCAACCAAGAACTGACACGCTTCAAGGGGTTAGAAGCTTTTAAATATTTTGTAGTGGGATGAGTGAGATCTTTGTTGATCACCAAACATCACATCTGTTCCTGATAACAGCCAGGGGAAGTAGAATGGGGTCAAAATCAGAGTCGGAGCTGCCCGGGATGATGGAAACAGAGGGCCGGGGTGGGGGGGATTCCTTGCCGGCAAAAGTGAGGACGGGGATGGGGAGTGGGTCGGTGGGGGATTCCGTCCCAGTGCACCGGTGAGAAAAATACTTTTGGTATATATAATTTCATTTACTGTAAATCCCTTCTTGGAGATGGTCCCTCACCAGAAATGAAATACTGACTGCACAGTGGGCTCCTTCCCTCTCTTTTTAAGTCCGCTATCCACCTCTGTCTGCGATCTTTATCAGCCGGGATCTGATAGAAAGATACTTTGCCCTCCTTCTTTAGCAGATTGACTCTGGCTACAACATCCAACAGCAACACAGGTCACCACCATTGTTATTCAATTCAGATTTTATCGCACACAAATAGGACACGTTGGTCCAGATGGATAGTTTGATCTCCAATATGACGGCATAAACACCAGGTCACGTGGTTTTGTGATGTAGACGCAAAACCTTAATACTGAGAATGAGAAAACGTGTATGTGTCCTCTACCTGCAGGTTAAGGCTTTGGGAACCCAGATTCAGTTGCTCTGAACCAGCAAAAGTGCAGACTACATAGCATAAGTTTCAAAAGTTTGGGCTGCATCATCTGAAATGTTTTGACTTTGTGGCATCATTGTTTTGAGACATAGACTTAACAATAACTTCTTGCGTGTTCAGCCTCAGGGAATGCTTGTTTGTGCCTAGTTGGGTCACACTTGTACAACAACAATAGAGATACGCAATACAGCCTCTGAGCCCCAGAAGACAAATTACAGGTGTGAAAATCATGTTCATGGCAATGCTCTCGGGTAATGTGAACTTTGACAATAGTTTAATTCAAGAGCAACAGCTACAACTTGATAATGTAATACTTTGGTTGGACTTATACAAGGAAGGAATGAAGATACAACCAATTAATTT